TTCGAGAGATTTTACGAGTTTGTACAGTTAAAAAAAAAAGTTTAATTTTTATGTAAATTCCTTAAAGCTCTTTTAATTAGACTTTCGAAGATATATGCATGAGTTTGCTTTCTGAGCATTTTGAAGAGGAAAATTTGAACTTTTACTAAAAAAAATTTCCCAATTTCTATTAGAATATACATATATTTTGTATTTTAGGTGTACTGCTTCTATCTAGATTTTTCCTGGCTTCTTTGTAATTATACTAAACTTGTTTATCTGCCTCTCTATATAAGAGCAGGCGGTAATGTTGCTATGTAGTTAGAAATAATATTACAGCTAAGATAGTTTTTCCTGTTCTGTGATGCTATCTTCTCAGCAATCCTAGTTTCTACAATTATTCAAATTCTTGACTTCTAAGTTTAGGAATTTTCATTTTATTAATGCAATTTTTTTTTTTTTTTGAGAATTGTTAAATATGTTAGTTTTCACTGTGTATAGCCTTTCATTTAAATAGCCCGACAAATCAAAAAAAGTGTACGCGCGAATTCCTTTTCAATTTCCCTCTCAGTCCTCCACTCCTCCGGCATCTGCCTGGCCCTGGAATCTCTCTCTCTCTCTCTCTCTCTCTCTCTCTCTCTCTCTCTCTCACAGGCGGCTAAGGAACCTTCTTCCTGGCCGAAAATGGAGGCACCGAAGCAAAAGCAACGACGGCTTTATCTGCAATGAGTCCACACCGAAGAGTCAGGACGTTTCCTTTCTTGATTCTTTTATTCTTCTTTACTCGTCTCGCAAATCCCCAATTTCTTCGCAATAAATGTAAAATCTCCGGCTGAAACGGCTTTTATTTATCTTGCCGTTATTATAAAACTTACTCGTCATTGCGTCTACCGCGCGGATTCCTTAAATCTCCGTTTCTCTTTATACATTCCTCTTAAGATTTTCTCTCTGTGGTTCATCTTTATTACAACGGAACACATGAAATCTTTCTGGGGTTTTGGCTTCCTTTATCTGCTGCTCGTGGGATGGGCTCTCGGCTTAGAGAACTTGAATCTGACGGAGACGGAGACGATCTTTGATGGCGAGGTGACTCTCGGAGGATCGCCTCTATTCGTCCCACTCACTCTAATTCCAGCTGCGGCCGCCAGTGGAGCACGTAATTGAGCTGTTTATTTTATTTTTAATACTCGGTTTTGTTACTTTCTCCTACATTATTGCTCCTTTATTATAGTGATTCATGATATTATTGAAAAGGTCTTTGCTCTGTGTTTCCCTAAATCTCTTAGGCTTCATTTGGGAAGGTTTTCTTATTACTTCTTAAAGTACTTTATTAGTATAGAATTTTTATATTTTACAAAAAAGTTGCTTTAAGAAGCATCAAGAAAATCATCCCAAACATAGCCTTAATGTTTGATTTTTAGTTGTTTGATCATTCTGCTGGAGCATCAAGCTTTGTTTGGGAAGACCTTCTTACTGCTTCTTAAAATAGCTTTTTAATAAAAAAATTAAAATTTTTTTTCCTAAAAAGTTGCTTTAAGAAATAGTAAAAAAACAAAAACTATCCCAAATAAAACCTTAGTCTCTATCATGGTTGTTTTTAATTTGATTTGTTAGTGTCAGCTTGTTGAATTTTATAGCCATATTGTAGTAGATATAGATTAATTCATAGAAATTTTCTTTTTCTTTTTCTTTTCATTAAACTTCCGTTCCAAAATGGGTCAGCATATATATATATATATATATATAATATTATAATATATAATATCTTTGTAAGTGATTTGGGATGTCTTCTAACATCAATGTGCTATTTCTTTTTCATTTGAAACAAAAAAAGTTAAAAAATTTTAATTATAATTTATATTGTAATGGATTTAATTTATTGGATTATATTTTGAGATTAATATTTACATAAAGAATTAATATTAAATCTAATCATAAATTTTAAATTTAATAAAAGTCTATTCATACAAATTATATTAGAATATTTGACATATATTTTTTTTCTTTTTCATTTCTAAAGAGTCAATACTAGGCCAGTAAAAGTTCATATTTTGAGATCGCTGTTTCTCCAATGTTGGATTTTCAAATCATAAATCAAATGATTTGTGATCTCATTAGATCCAATTGATGCACTACAATTTGATGTGATGAGAATTGTTTCAATTATACCAATAAACATTTATGCATCTAACCTTCAGATACGCCAATAAACATTTATGCCATCTAACCTTAGACTCGTATGATGGTTAGATTTTGATGGATGCTCTGGAGTCTCAACACATAGTCTGGGCGATTATCATCCAGCTGGTTAATATACTTCATTTGATTGATGCAGTTTGCTTGGAATGGAAGCTTACTGGTTACCACCTTCACCGTGGATTTGGATCTGGAGAAAATAGTTGGCTTGTCCAATTAGGAGGTTAGAGATGTACCTTAGAAAATCTTAGAATATGGATAAACTGATATATATATATATATGTATATATATATTATATAATAGTATATATATATTATATATAGGTATTAATATCATTATATAGTAGTATTATATTTCCGATTGTTTGATTTCGCAAGGTAGAATATTGTTGATATTTTTTTGAGTTTCTATGCACTTTCATGGCCATAATGCATAAAACATTAGCATATTTAGTCTAAAATTTGCTATCTTTTATTCTAAAAAATTACTTTGGTTTCAATGACCTCTGCAGGGAGGAGGTTGGTGCAATGACATCCAATCATGTCTTTACCGCAAAAAGTCTCGCCATGGTTCATCATACCACATGGAGCAGCAGCTACAGTTCACTGGAATTCTGAGCGATAAACCTGACGAAAATCCAGGTGGGTTTTTAACCTTAAACCCTTTCCCTGTTCCATTGCAAAAGTAAAGGGCATGAAGTTCTTGAATTTGACCATAATGGTCGTGAACTTAACAAATGCAGATTTTTATAACTGGAACAGAGTTAAGGTTTGCTACTGTGATGGTGCGTCTTTCCTTGGCGAAGGCTATGACAGGGTTTGTATTTTTTTTTTTTGATGTTTTATTCTTCCTTTTCCACCTGTTGCTTTATAAGCTGTTATGGTATTCCCAGCTTCTCTAATATACTGGTACACAATAGATTGACAGAATCTTAGGGAAATTATTAGGTGCGGACACCGTACAGAGAGAACCGTCCGGTTTTCTTTCTATCTACAGTGAAAGTACAGTCAAAGCGTAGCTGCTACAGTAACTGTGCTTTCACTATAAACAGAGAGAAAACCGGACAGTTATCTCCGTCAAGTGCCCGCACCTAATAATTTGCTAAGAATCTTTCTAGTTTTAGATAGTACTGCGTTTCAATTAACTGCTGAAAATGAGTAGCGCTTCTTTCTACATCAGCTCTGTTGAATATGTTAGAGAGATCCTCCATCATAAAATGCAGTCATCTATCTTTACTGATGCCGTCATTATTGCTGACTTTGCATACTAAGGACCTTTAGATATCTTCATATGGTTCTTATTATTTTTTTGTTGGTTATTTTAAGAGCACAACATTATGCCTTTCTCAGTATAGTTGTTGTTTAGCTCACACATCGATTGGCAGCCTTTAAGCATCTCTCTAATTCCTGCAAACATGAAGTTATGGCTACAAAAATGCAACTACATTTTCTGATGGACCAATTCCATTCCCAATTTTGATTATTATGGCCTATAGTACTGCCACATGCTAACGATACATATAAAACTTGTTTTAAAATCTTGGTTTATATCACAGTGGTGCAACACAATGTTAGAGGTGCTTCCTGTGGTATTCAATTTGTAATATCATGCAAAGGTTTTAAAGACCTCTTGAAAGTCTAGCAGTTTCTTAGTGCAAAATAAACTTTTGCAAATGTTCCAAATAGTTTCGTTTATATTTATGTTTATTTTAGTTGAAGTTGCTAGGCTTAACGTGGGTACATGGACCAAGTAACAGTTTCCAAATGTGGTCAGTTTTCCTAAATTACATGGAAGTTAGCCATTTCAGTGCCTATGTGTTGTTTCTCTGTGCTTGAACAGTTCGAACTCAGACAATGCTACTTCTTTGAGCTCCACTCCTTGCTGCTATGATGATCAGTACTTCACTGAGTTCCACCGCTGCAATCATAATTGTTAGTGTTGTACTGGAAATAATTTTCTTAAGCTAAATCTCCATGTTTCACTTTCGTATAAAGTGATTTTCTTTCCTAGCCCTGGTTTTGTAATGGACGATTCAGATTTCTTGAGACAGCAAAAATGGCTCTACTGCTCAAAGTTTGCTGGTTCCATTTCAGGCAGCAGGTCTTTTTTTCCGTGGTCAACGCATCTGGTTAGCTGCTATGGAAGATTTAATGTTAAAGGGAATGCGTTATGCAAATCAGGTTTAATTCCTTGCTTTTGCAATGCATTTTTGTCATAATTCCACGTCCTTCTGTGATACTCGTCTGTCACCAGGCACTTCTTACCGGCTGCTCCGCTGGTGGTGTAGCAGCCATACACCATTGCGATGGATTTCGAGCCTTATTTCCCGGAAGCATAAGAGTCAAGTGTGTTGCTGATGCTGGAATGTTCCTTGATGCGTATGAAACTCTTGATGACAGCATACATATTTACTTATTTGCTAAATATATCTTAATAATTCGTCACATAGATCTCTTAGTATTCATTTCTGTTTTAGACTAAGGCTTTGTTTGGGACGGTTTTCTTACTGCTTCTTAAAGCGACTTTTTAGTATAAAATTTGTAACTTTTGTATTAAAAAGTAGTTTTAAGAAGCAGAAAGAAAGCAGTCCCAAACGAAGCCTAAATAATTCCTAAATTCATCTTTTCTCTCTCGAGGAAGTCATAAATTTAAACTTCATTTGAATCTTTTTCATCTAATTTGGCTATTGCTTGTGGTTTATCTTGTGACTTAGTATTGATGTGGCTGGTCGTCGCACCTTAAGATCCTTCTTTAGAGGAGTAGTCAAGTTACAGGTACTTGTTACAAGCCTTTAATATGCATGTTTAACAACTCATAATATGCTGTACATGTTTAATTAGTTGTTGAATAGACTTTAAAACTTCTGGTTCCAAGTTTTTCTTACCTTGTTGAGTATTTGTTTTCATTTACTCTCTAGTACCTCATAAGCTTTTCTCTCTGCAAATAATTGTTTGGGCAAACAGGGAGTGGCAAGGAACTTACCACAGACCTGCACTTCTCGCTCGAATCCTACTTTGGTAAAATTTCCATCTCCGATATAAGGTTATAATTTATACGACATAGGTAGGATTTAACAGATTCATAAGTTTATTATTCATCCTTCTTTCTTTTCAGTGCTTCTTTCCACAGAATGTGGTGTCCATTATTCAGACCCCGCTTTTTCTTTTGAATACAGCATATGATGTTTGGCAGGTATAATACTATCCTACAAAACATTTTATTATAAACTCAGTACTGCATTGTAATGAAAATTCTGCTCGTCTTTTTATCGAACTTTTTATGAGCAAAGTGTAACTATTCACCGAATACTTTGTTAATCTCCTCATTTTCATATTGGTTCCATTCCTGGATGACTAATACTATGATGAGAACCTGAAATATTACTGTTGTCTTATTTTTCTCCTTGGGTCTCAGCTCAAGGAGAGTCTAGCAACCGAAGCGGCTGATCCTCATGGTTATTGGCAAGACTGTAAGATGGATAATGCAAAATGCAACACAGATCAAATCCAGTTTCTTCAAGGTAAATATTTTTTCATCTATAATTTAATCTTATGCAATATTTAATTAGTTCACGTAACTTAAACGATATATGCACTTGATCTTTTCCTCTATTATAGACTTCAGGAATCAAATGCTTAATGTTGTGGAAAGGTTCTCGTCATCAAAAGAAAATGGGATATTTATTAATTCATGTTTTGCCCATTGCCAAAGTGAGAGGCAGGATACTTGGTTCGGTAGCAACTCCCCCACTATTAGGGACAAGGTATGGTTACACTGCATCCCTTTATTGTTATTAATGCTGCCAAAAAAAATTTGTGAATTTCTCTTCGGTCAATTTTCTACCCATTCGATAAAACTTCAAATAAGGCTTCCACTAACTTTTTTTTGTTAAGTTATGAAGCTTGATTTTTTTCCCTACAAAGAAAATATGCTATGTAAACTTAGTCTCTAGTTGACTTTCATAGTAAGTTTTTCATGGGACTTGGTAAAAGAAGGAAGGGGGGGGGGGTTGGGTTGTTCTAGAGCTTTCTCGTGAGGGTTTTTGGGTGGTGCCTCGACAATTATTTATTTTTGGGGATTTGTCCATTAAAAATATCTTCGGAATTTTATTGTATTCTTGGTCGTCTTAGATTTTGTTTTTTTTTTAATAAAGAGGGGATGTCATGTTTATGTTGTTTCTGAAGTATTGGGGTTATAATTCTGCATAATGAAAACCATAATGAAATTAATAATGGCATGGCATGATATAATCATCAATTAGATGAATTCATATAAAATTCTTTGTATTTATTTTTTATCTTTTTCGCTCTTTATGTTTGAATTAGGGTTTAGCTTGTTTTTCACCATCTTCATCCAATTCCACTATACTAGCAAAGTGAGATTAACTAAATATAACTAGCAAGTTAAAAAATGCAGCTAATATAAAGCACATTTCAATCAAATATAGTCGACAATAGAGGGAATTTGTTGACAAAATCTATAATAGTCATCTGCCAGAAAAAGTTTGAAAGCCAAGTGTAACTATTCTTTAATTTTGTTTATTCTGACATAATCATTGAAAGTGATCATAAGCTTATTTACTCATTGAACAATTGGTACACTAATAATCTTGTTTGCCATTGTAAAGTGTCTATGACATGTGTTAGTCCAATCTCTCAAAAAAGGTATATGAACCAATATTTAGAACTAGAGATATAGCTTATACTAAAGTGATTGTGGTAAGATTTCTTTTTTAACAAATTCCAAGATGAAATCTATAAGAAAAAAAAATTGAGTAACAAAGATTGTTTAAAATACCAAAAACATAAAAAATTTCTTTAAAAAAATCTGCAGTACATAAAGGATGACCAACAACATTGGAGTTATCTGTCAATCTGTTTGCTTTAGTTGTTTGGAGATTAACAAAGTAGAAAGTTATATTTAAATTTGTTCATGTTTTATCATCCAACAAGTCTAAAACTAAGATGGCAAATGGTCTCATTTTATCCATGATTCTATCCATTCCTGCCTATGCATGAAAAGTCCTCAAATATCCAATTTGTATCTTTTACCATAATTTGCTAATGATATGCAGGGAATTGCAAAGTCTGTTGGTGATTGGTACTTCGATCGATCCCGAGTTAAAGAAACCGATTGTCCATATCCATGTGACAAAACATGTCACCACCTAGTCAACAGAAAGAAAAAGCCTCCTCCTTTGGTACTCTCTAGTATCTCTCTTCAAACTTCTCCTTAAATTGCAATGCAATAAAATTGCTTGTTATCATGGATCCATGCTCAATATAATGGCATGAGAGTTGTAGCATTAACTGTAAATCTATGGATGTTTAGCTGTCCATATTTGGACATGTAGTGCAATCAAGTAAACTCTATGAGGAAATGGATAGTTTTGTTTGCATTGTGGCTTCCCAAAACATGATTTTCAAAAAATAATTGCAAGACTGAGTTGCTTGCAAGTGCTATTAAGAATCTAGAAGAAACAAACCTTTGTGAATCAAGTTGGGAATAATGAATTGTTAGGCTTTATTTTGGGACAACTTTTTTATTACTTTGCTTTTCGTATCGTAACCATAATGCTTATTTGGCCATTGCTATTTTGCTGATTTTAGAAAACCTGTGTTAGGAAGTTATTTTCTACAGTAGCTTTCAAAAAATTGACTTGATCTATAGCAACTTTATAATCATTTTTATAAAAAGTTGCAGTCATCTCAAATTGATCCTTCCAAGTTCAGATATTGGATTTTAAATTTCCCTGCTAATTCCATTTTCAAATATCATAATTTTTTGCTATAAATTGGCGGAGCTTTATTAAGTCAAGGTGATGTTCATTCTTGTAGATGTATGTTTATTTGTCCTAGTATGTACATATGTAAATTTTTATACATCTCTATCTGATTAAGCTTGTTATTTGATTTGTATACATAAATTTTTTTGTAAATCTTGAACAAAAGATGCAGAGAAATGATAAAAAAATAGCTAAGATTTTCATGCAAAACCAGTTTGTGTTTTTGATAGATGTTGAACAGAAACTTATAGGGATTGAATCACACTAACAAAAACTTTGACTTCTAAAAATTTAACTAATAATAAAACTCTCTCAAAAGAGTGAAACTTTTATGTGTGGTCACCAAATGTTGTCTGGAGGCCAATTAGGATGAATTTATTGTGTATCATTATTGTGTACCATTATGTAATGGGTGGTGTGGCCCATCCTGATTGGCATTTGAACGGTCTGGTGATTGCATATAATAATTTCTCCTATGGTTACAAAAGAATCGAGCCTAGCCGAGTATGTGAGTGTTTATGTTTGAGTTTGTTTATTATTATCTTGTTCAAGTTCGGTTCATGTTTGATTCAAGCTTTATTGTTTGTGTTCATGTTTTGGTTCGTTTAATTTATCAGTGTTCATGTTTGGTTCATGTTCGATTCGTTTGGTGCTTATCGAGTTTTAAACAAACAAATCTTAACGAGTTATGTTCGTGAACATATTTAGCAAACAATCTATTAAACAAACAAACTTTAAATTTGTTCATGAACATCTTTAACAAACAATCTAGCAAATATGGATAAATGTAAAATGTCTCTTGTTCATGAACAAATTCATTCTATTGAATGTATAAAATAAATGAAATTCAATTTATAATTAAATATTAATCATATTTTTATCGAACTTGTTCATGAGCTCTGAATCGAACACGAATCGAGCTTTTATCAAGCTTCTTATAGAGCTTGTTCATGAGCTTCAAATGATCTTGTTCATGAACATAAATGAACTGAACATAGTAGTGTTCAAGCTTGTTTATTTAAGGATCGAGTATTTAAAGTGCTGTTCAAGTTTGTTTGTTTAGTTAATTAAATGATCACAAATGAGCTTTAATCGAACCGAGCAACGAGTAGCTCGTCGAACATTTGATTCACTTGCAGACCTAATTTCTCCTCAAAAGAGTCCGGTGTGAAATTTCGGATCCCACAATTTTCTAGGTCTAATAGAATTCCATAACCATTCTAAGCGTAGATACTATTAAACCAATGAAAGGGCTAAGGTAGGATTTCAAGAAAGGTCAGGTTATAAAAGAACCTATAAAATGATTTCAGAGGATTAGAACAAAAATTGACACTAAAAGGAGGAATGCTTGAAATTTCCATAAAAATGGTTTAGGATACTGAATTGGTTCAACTTCAAATGAATGACAAACTCATTCTGAAGAAGAGCTTGAACTAGCATGCATTAATTATGAGATTAAGTAATAATAGTAATATTTATCTAATAAAAAATAATATATGTATTATTATTTAATAATAATGATTTTGAATTATACTTAAACTTTATACTCATGCTTAAAAATAAAACAAAAATTTTCATTATGAATTTTATGACCAACTCTTAATATTCACAAAATGAATTTATGTTCTTATTTAAATTTTATGCTTTTATATGTTCTAAAAAGCTAAAAAAATCTCCATATTTTTTATGCTAATGGCTTTATTTAATTCATGCTATAGATATTTAAAAAATATTAAAATCCAAGTGTAAAATTTATAATTATGCATTTAAATTCTTAAAAAATGTAAAATCACCATATTTGGTTCATAAAATTCATTTTACTAACTCATAATATTTATTTTAAAACATATGCATATGAAATATGATAAAATTATTATTATTATTTGAGTTTTTATTATCCCTTTCTTCATTCTCCTTTGAAAAAACTCTTTTAAAATAGTAAGACCTCAATGACTCATAATCCCAAAATTCTTTGAGGGAAAACACTCATTTCTATGAACTAAGTGAGTGTCATTATTTATTGTGATGTTTTACCCTTTTGGGAGCTCCTTTGCTAAATTCATTACCTAAGGCTTAATAATTCACCTTTACTAACTAAGATTGTAGTTTAAAGCCCCATTTTCTATTGAATCAATAATATAAACTAACATTCTTACTTAAGATTATTCTTGATATCACATTTGAAATGCAATTGATGGGCTTACGACCATGAGATGTCTCGATCCTTCAGAACTGAATAAATCCCATTTGGCCTCCGCTACCACTTATTGGAAATTTTTCGGTCACATATTTCAATTTTTCTTTTAATGATTTTGATAAGCCAAAGTTAGAATTTATTAATCATTATTACTTACTAACCCTTATTCTAAGTTGGAAACTCTTAAGGCTATTTTAAAAAACACTTCAAATAGACTAATAAAAATAACTCATATTTTATACATAAAAATAATAACTTATAAGTAAGAATGACCAAAAGTTCATAGTGATTTATATAAAACTTAGCAAAGTTTGATATTCTTAAATTTTATAAATAAGAATAAGAAATTATTATATTTTATAAAGAAGAATAAGAAAACCTTAACAATACTAATATAATATTTATCAAATTTTACATAATGCCTTCAAAATTTATCATAAAATGTGGTATCATATTAAATTTTAAAAATAAACCCTATAAATAATAAGGGGATTCACATTCATAACACTTAAAACTATAGTATTTATATATTTAATGCCTAAAATTTCATATTTACTCACAAAATACTTAATTATTTAAATAACATCAAAATTACCACTTCTCATTTCTCGCCATTTTTATCCATAACGGAACTTTTTTCTGTCATGACAACTTTAATATCATGTTCCCATCCCTAAATTTTGAATCCCATCATGACTGTCTTACCTAGGCTGGCTTTGGACTTTCTATACCTCTTCTTTGTTAGTAAGATTCTCATTTTGTATCAATGTTGCTTGGTGCTCTGTCACATGCCCTTTTTATAGCTGAGGTACTTATTCACATATGCTTTGTGATTGTCCTCAGTATCTTTATTGTGTGTAGTGGAAGTTTTTTAGAAAAATCTTATTGAGTCGGGGAGGTGGTTATTTCTTTTGAATGGGTCGACTTCTATTGTTACAGTAACACAATAGGTGCAATCTTTTTGTGCGTAAATTATATTAGTACGGTAACGCATTGTTTTAATTAATAGCTATTTTGATCAATATTACTTTTCGCAACCCTTATAAATATTTTTGGGCTTTTATCATTAAATTGTTATTTATTAGCTGCAAATATTGAATTAAAAAAGATGTACATAACATAAAGGATTAGATTATATTTAGGTATATTTATAAATTATTAAGTTTTTTTTTATAAGAAAATCATTTGCCTATAAAAGATAAAAGTCAAATTTATTGATATTTGTTGAATAAATGATCATTTAATTGCTCAGTCCTTAGGAATATGTGGGCACACACTATATTATAGGTGCTATTGAGAATTATGATTATGCAAACTTGTTTTTTTTTTGGGTATAAATTATAGGTTAAAAAAAAGATGTAATAGATCATATTGATAAGAATAAGTATAATACTTGGTGCAGACAATGCTATACGATTCGTTCAATACAAGGCATTATAAAGGTTGTATGTATTTTTTGTTTGGTTCAACATTAATGTCTTTGCTAAATTAAAGTTTTGGATTAAAGTTTGGGAGTAAATTTGATGATTGTATTAATTATTGTAATATTATTTTTGGAAAACCCGAAGAATTATATTATACATATAATGATTTGTGAAGTTGTATTGATGTGTAATATTTGTTAAATTTAAAAATAAAATAAAATATTGGATTATTTTATTACATGAATCATATATCTAATTGCGGAATGATTGTGGTAAAAATTAGTTCTGCATTATAGTTTTATTAATAATAACAAAGTATTTTTAATTGATACCCACTGATTAAAACTCGCAAAAATTGATAAAAAAAATAAAGATAGTATCTATTAATATCCCTTCAATTTAATAGTCTTATAATGTAATATTGAGTCAAACATTATACTTCCTTTTTTTTATTTTCTCAAAAAAAAAAATTAATCCAATTATTAAAAAGATTGGATTCAATTACTAAAAAGATACACTTTTTTTCATCCTCTTTTTTGATGCGGCGACATATTTAATTTTATTGTCACAAACAGCAATTAATCTCGAACAAGATTGGAACCATATTCAAATAAGGTTTGAACCTTATTTAAATATGGTTTAAATAGGGCTTCATTGTGATTTGAATATGACTTGAATATGGTTTGAATAGGATTTGAACATGATTCAGGCCTAATTTGAATAGGGTTTAAGCATAAATCAAATAAGGTTTGAGGGTGATTTAAATAGACCCGGGAACCTCCATAACCGCCACTCAATATAAGGTATAAAGTGCTCATCAGATTATATATGTGAGTACTATTTAAATTATATAAATTTTTTATTAAAAATTTAAATAACTTAACTTAAGGTTGACCAGGGAACCTCATCCTTCTTGGCCCTACTCCACTTTCAAGGAGCTTTAGAGGAGCAAAACTCCTTTATATTGTCAAATAACTCTGATATCTCAAGTAGTCTAGAGAAGCATTTACAAAATAAACTTATCACCGACTATAAGGTCTATGCTACGGTGTAAGAGAGGTCAAAATAATACAATGTCGTGATATGCATAGGAAATGAGATATCATATATTATCGAATATATTTGATTCTAGTTCATTGAGAAAATATATGAGTCCTACATCAACCCAAAACTTCAACCACTTTTCCTCCTCTCAAATGATATATATGAGGGTTTATTTAGGCTACTTGAAGGTGTCCTTCATCTTTAGCTTGGTGTACATAGAGATTATTGCTCTATGGTAATGATCAAATAATTCTTTCAAAATAATAATGCATGATCAAATAGGTTTCATGGCAGTGTTATATTCACTCTCTTATTAGGCAACATAAAAAATCTATGTAATTAGGAAAAAAAAAACTTCTGAAATGAGTGTATTTAATTATTAAAAAAATCATACAATTAATAAAGTAATAGATTTTATATCTCACTATACAACCATTTTGTTGGTATATTCAATTGTTGAATGGGAAACATATAGTGTTTTCACAGCCTACTCTTATCTTCCTATCTATAGAGTTATCTATCAATCATGATATCTAAGACTTGAAGGTATAAAATTGCTTCTCATCAATTGCATGGAGGAGATCAATTGTGCATCAATCCATATGTTTATGGCTCTTTCATATTGGATATATGAAATCCTTAATTAAATGCTTTTTTATTAATTTGCCTTCTTTAATTCAATAATTTTGCTAGACCTGTCAATTTCGGATCACGGGTCGGATTCGGGTCGAACCCGAAGCTGACACGACACTATTCGGGTTCGAGTCGACCCGACCCGTTTTTTAAAACGGGACAATTTTATGGACCCGAAACCGACCCGCTTAGAGTTCGGGTCAACCCGACCGACCCGTGAATACAACAACGCCTGCAGCGGCAGGTCGGCAGGAACAATGGTCCGACGGTCGGCGGCAGCAGAAGCTGGCGAAAGCAGCCGACGACGCGAACCCGATGTTGGCAAAAGCAGCCCGAGGCGCGCAGGCGACGTGAGCTCGGGACGCGTGTGGGATGTGAGATCGAGACGCGTGCGGCGACACTTTCCTCGGGATGCAACTCGCGATGAGACACACCGACGCGGTTGGGCAGCCGGGGCAGCGGGGCAGCCGGGCAGGGCCTGTCAGAGCCTCATTCCGGGTCATTCTCGGGTTCCCGGGTCAACCCGAACCCGAAGCGGGTCAACCCAAACCCAAAATTTTTGGGTCGGGTCCAATATTGACATGTCTAAATTTTGCCCTTTTATATAATATCAGGAGATGAATTAACATCTCCTACCTTCAAAACATTCTTATCTATCCATACAACAGAAAGATAATAATCAATATTTGTTATCTCCTCCACCTCCTCCTCTACCCACTTCTCAACTACATCCCCAACCTCAACTAAATAACTGGTTGAGTCAAGCTTTTTCTCATTCTCTCCTTATGCAAAAAGTTTCAAAAAAGATTGGTCAAAATATCTAATTTTTGCTCCAATCTAAAATTATTTTTCACTAGTCTAAGTAGGTTGCTCTTCAGCTCATATAAATGTGAAAAAAGTTATCTCAATCCTACAAAGGATGGCAGTTTGACTTGAAGCTAATTGTTCTTCATCTTCTCTCTTGCATTTTCATCAAAATGTGCAATTGTGACCTTTTTCTTCATAACTCATTGTGATTAGCTTAGAAGTATGTAGAACTGATTTATAGAAGTCCTCCTTATCAGCTTTATGCACCAGCATAGGGGAACCATTGCTTATAAAGATCAAGCTAAAAAAGCCTTGTGTGTTAATATATAATACTGATTAACCACATAAAGTTAAAAAAATTACTCGTGAGAAAAAATTATTCTGTGCGGAGGCTGGATGCAATTCTACATTCGGAGATAAATCAGGTGCATCCATGTCAGCGGTACCGAATAGCGATACCGAGCGGTACCGAGTAGTATCGAGCTGCTGTACATAGCGAAGAGGTGTCGTTGCACATTCTGATTGGTCTTAAAGCGACGTTCGGCGTCCGCACAAAATAATCAATCACTCTTGAGTGCCCTGTTGTTATTTAAACTCAACTTCCTTAGTGCCCACTCTCCAAGGAAAATAACACAATTCCTCATCAATTTTGGAATGACTTCATAATCTTAATATAATTATATAGCATATCCAATTACAATGTGTTAGGCTAGGGCATTCTTTCTTCATGGCAGTAGCCTCATAATGCATCATAATCTTCTTTAATCTTCTTAAAATGTATTAGCACTTGAAATTTTAAGTAAAACTTGTTAAACATATTTAAAAATCATATCTCACTTTCTAATATAAAATGGTTCTTCATTATTTTCTTTTAATTTCTCATTCTTTTTATCATTTTATGATAATAATTACATAAATTATAATTATTTTTTCTTTTTTTATAATAAATGTATTGCTTAGTGAGCAAATTTGAACTCACAGGATAAAACTTATGCTCAAATTTAAGCTCATGCTTCGTTTGGAACATCTTTCTTTCTGCTTTTTAAAGCAACATTTTAATATAATTTTTTTTAAATTATAAATTTTTATATTAAAAAATAATAAAAAAACTATCAAAAAGAAGATCTAAATTTTATGTCAATTTCACTCTTAAATAAGAGATGACTCAACTTATTACTCCAAAAAAGTAGAATTAAATGAGCCATAAAAAAAAAAAAAAAAAAAAAAAAAAAAAAAAAAAAAAAAAAAAAAAAAACCAATGAGCCATATTACTTCAAATTTTTTATGAAAGATGCTCCATTCCTTAATTGCCCTATGCTCTTTACATTTATTTTTCCTTGGTTACCCATCATCGATTGAGTATCTCGTCGGCGGCGACCGGATACGGCGAGCTATTAGCGGACTTGCGTCAGTGCCTACCAACTCCTCGCTGGTAAGGTGGGCCGGTGCAGCTCTCCTTTCCTTGTTTTTAGAAAAAATCGAAGGGGACTGGACCCCTTGTCTTACCTTCCTTGACGACCTAGATTTCTACTCTGACTTTTTAAATTGTCAAAGATAAAGATGACCGATGCGGATGACGCCGCCCGCCGTCGCAGCGTGGTGAACGACTATCGTAAGAAGCTTCTCAACTACAAGGAGCAGGAATCCAGGGTCCGAACGGGTGCGCCTCTCTACACTACAATCTCGATCATTATTTGTTTTTTTTTTTTCTCAGTACCTTGCTCTGATCTGGTATGTGTACCGGTTTCTGGAGGATTTAAGGGTTAACGTTTCGGTTCTCTCGTAGTGGGGCGGTGCTTGAACTTCTTAATTTGTTCGTATCTGCACTGATTTGTGTGGAATGTTAGGGCTAGGTTAAGTTCTAGGTATCACACTACCATCGTTCCTCGTGCTGTGTGTATGCGAGTATCTGTTAAATGCTTTTTCATCTCAGTTTTTTCTTTCCTTTTCTTCCGGACGTTTTGCATTCTTGTTATGGATCCCTAGGCTTTGGATGCATATTTTTCTTCATCTTTTGTTTGAATTTATTTCTTTCTTGATTATATTGTATTAATTCAAATTATGCATGCAACTGTACTGCTCAAAAATAGTGTGGTCAGAGATATTGGAGAGATTAGTGATCATTCTTAATCTAAAAAGAAGTTATTAGATTATTAAATGAAAATTGAAAGAACTAGTCTGTCATTTGTGTTTCTTTGCAAGATTGTAAATCGATTGGAGAGATTAGCCTCATCTCTGATTTCACTTAGGATAGTAAAGTTAAGGCGATTCCAATGGTTATTACGTAATGCTTAATTGAAATGTTAAACCATTATGATTGGAGGAATGCTATTTTAGAGTTGTCTGCAATCTGATCGCCCTTATTGCTAGAATGCTTGCCATAGTATTGATGATATAAAATATTGAATGATTTAAGTTAAGGAAATACTACGTTTTATAACAAGTACAATAGGTAATTTAATGCTTTCTTCATCATGAATCAACTTCACGAAGGAGTTAGTTATCTCAATGCAGTAATTCTGTTTTTCGTAATGGAGTTTAGATGATTTGTAGCAAAAAAAAAAAGATATTCTGTTTGTTTCTATGGTAAATTTTGGACATATGGTGAGCCTATGCAAAGGCTAATTTTTTTACAATGTTTGATTCACAAACACAACAGATAGATGTCTATATGAGAATGTAAACGTCTGCATAATTTAAGAAAATGAATGATTTTTTGTAAATTATATGTGTAGCTTTGACCCGAAAAACCATAAGAATAATCCACCAAGAACAAGCTTCTTTTGTGGCCATTTTCAATTTTAAAATTTTGGAAATTTTTTTCTTAAAGTTTGATTTTATATTGTAGAGAACTAGAGATCAATTAAGCACAAATTGACCTGAACTAAATTATTCCATTAAGAAGAAACTAAATTTTATAAGATTAAAATTTTAATTTGAATGATGTAGATGAAGAAGAGTGTACAAAAGTAGTTATATGTCTGCTTTTGTAAAGGTTTACAAATTATGTATAATTATTCTAGATCAGATCCATAATAAATCATTTACAGCAATTATCAAATATTGTTTAGGCCTGCTGCATTGGAATTTACTTTGAGTCAAAAAGTATTCTTGGCCTTGACGAGATTCTTGAGGGTATCTTTAACTTTTTCTTTCTCAAATTTTCATCTTGCATGAGCAAAGGATGAAATTGAAATTGGAGCCTTTTAAGGATCCTCAAATGTCGTTGATTTGATTTGAGAGTTAATGCAGGCCACATGAATTAATTAGGCTTATAAAAGCTAGCCTAGGCTAACTGAAGTGACCTGGGTGCAGCTTAGGTTGTGTTTCATGTAGTCTCCAAGTGCATGCCTTCAATGCTATTGTACTACCTCCAAGAGATGGCACAAGGCATCACTTCTAGTAGGAGGCAATCTTCATTATCTTTAATAAGTGGAAGTACTTCACACCACCTCCAGCTAGAGGCAATTTTGTTTATCAATTCTTCTTCTTGGAGGTATCACGTGGTATGCCTCTAGTTGAATATATATATATATACATATACATGTATACAATTTAATGATAGTTCCTCAGCACTTCTTTTATTCCTTCCCAAATTAATTAAAGCCATGTAATTGTTGTGCTTTAGATGTCTATTGATCTTCAAAAATATATGCTAAGCCCGAAAGTAGGGGTTACAAAAAGCATGAATCGTTCTCAACATTTATTGCTAAGATATCTATGGATTTATAACCATAAAATTTAAGTATGAAGATGGGGGTAGAGGTGGCACATTCAAGTTTTTTTTGGGTCTTTGTCCATTCCTTCCTTGCATGCTATGAATTTGTGAAAGATAGGTTTTAAGCTCAAAGGTGTGGGTTGGAGAAGTTCATTTGAATTACTCTTGGCCTTTATCACTCGTAGGTTATATAAGGATTGGTCTTATGCTCAAAGGCAGTGGTCTAGGTGGCTAAGTTTGTGTGAATTCTCATAGGTAACAAAATTTGAGTAGATTCCAATTGGTGGGAGTATGCAAAATTTACATGTTTAATTCCTATTTTACTGATTTTCTTACTTTATTTTAACCATGGTATTCTCTTATAAAAGATTTGGAATTATGGATCTTATAATATTTTTAAAGTTATTCAATTTTTTTAATTGAGCCATATGTTTGAACCTGAGAACTTGTAATGTTTCAAGCTTTTTAGCTTGCATCAATGAAAGTGGTTAATATTTTGAGTGATGCAAAGGCAATGTCATCCTTATAGAAACTAAGATATTTTCTTGTTGCCTCATATAGGGGTTTTTAGGATTATATATGGTTGAAGTTAAAGAAACTAAGTTCTAATCTATGATGCACCGATTCTTCTCAAAGAGGCATGCAGTGTCTGACACGACACACGTCCTACATGTTTCAGACACTCCGAAAATGTGTTCGATTAAAAAAATATTAAATACAAATTGAACACGCGTGTCCGACACCTGTGTCTTAAATACTTTATCAATTTTTTTTTTTTAAAAAAAATATAAATTCTTGTGTTTAAAATTTTCATTTATTTAAAATATAAAAACTAGATTTTTTATTTCATATCCACAACACCAATTCAATCTCCCATTCATCTAATATTCTCATTTTCATTTCTTTTTGGCAAGCCGCGATTTTGTTTTCACAAGAATGCCCAATGTCATCTCAACATTGACGTCTGGCGTTGTTACACATTGTCATTTCAAAATCATTTCAACATCAAAGGCTGACACTGTCTTGACATTGATGCTCGATGCTAGCAATTTATACACCCACAACTTAACATCTCATATTTGTTTGACGTCGTCTTAACATAGACGATTAACGTCATGTCAACATTGATGGCAGATACCCGGACGTCCTCTTGACATCAACGCCTAATACTTACTGCATAACATCGATGCCCGACTCTCAACAACATTGTTGTCTCCTCTCTTGATGCCTGATATATGGCATCGACACCCAACTCTAGACATCTTAATATTAATCATTTTAAACACAAGTTCTAGTCAAATGACTTATTATTTCTAAATTATTTTTAATATTATACTTGTTCATTTTTTATATACTATTTTTAAATATAAAAATTGTAATACCACGTCCAACCTGTGTTCATGTCCTATATCTTCAATAATTGGCTTGTCCCGTGTCCGTATCGTCGTGTCCGTGTCTGTGCATCATAGGTGCTAATCATTGCAAGGGTGTTGCTCGAGTGAGATTCTTTACAAGTACTACCCACTCCCATGACATTATTGACAATATTTTCTTGGGCCAATAGTCCAAGCAATGTCCTTAGAAAATGCACATTTTATTTAGAGCAGTGCATGTCTTTCCAAGCTTTTTAACTATAATTGTAAGGAATTGAATCCTTGGAGAGTTGGAAGTGCCATTCCAACATCCTTATGTTGCTTGTTGTTATAGGAGGAGACTAGGATGTCTCCTTATGTTGGAGCTATAATAACAACTTTGTAATTTAGATCAAGGGATTTAGTTAATCAAAGCCCTGCTGTAGCCTCATTTGTTGAAAAGAATGTTCTTTTTGACTGGTGCCTTATATTGTCAATGGAAGGTGTTGCCATCTAGAGGGGGCAAATTTGATCTAGTCATTCTTCTAGAGCTTTGATATAGCAAGGTAATCTCCAAATGCCATTAGAATTATGTAAGATTATAAGAAATTGAATTTCAATTTGATTTACTGGGAGCGTAAGTAGGTCTTTTTGAGCAATTTCAATTATAATGCCTGCTAACAATTATGACCTGGGCATTGTAGGAGGCATGCTGTTTGCCCTTAAGGGAAGGTAGCCTAAGACAAAATTTCTTCAACCACTTCCTAATGCGATGCTACTTTTTTGACATGGGATTTCCCCTCAGTGACCATTAACCTTTTTTCAAAACTAATCAAAGGATTTCAATTTGGGTTGTGGTTTGGGCAAATTTTGATGATTGTAGCTCTGCCTTGTATCAACTTAAGAAGTTTATAATGTGTGGCTTGGGTTAATGTTTCAATGATCATAGCCTCTTCTGAGATTGAATGAAAAAGTGAGCTTGGAGCTATGGCTTGAGCTAATGCCTTGATGATGATGGCAACCTTGACCAAGGCTTTGAAGAGCATCTCTTTTGGGATTTTGTCTTCTGAGAATGCAAATCTTGTCAAACTCTCTTTAACTGTACCACAATGGGACCTTGCTTACAAAGGAAGGAATTTCGATGTTGCCCAAGCCATAACCCTAAAAAATTCTCATTGTGTTGGCGGTTGATGTGACAAAATCTATTAATATGTTGAAAACTTTGTTAACATGATTTTGATGACTGTTAACGTTTATTAATGTGCTGAATTATTTAACATTCTAGCAGCCTTTATTCATATGGTAATGATGATTGAATACTCATCTAGATTTTGGCATTGTAGCTGAAGTCACAACAAAAATTATCCTTCAGGGAGGAGCCTTTTCTAATGCCCTATAGTTAGACTAAGAGCTAAGCTCTTAATATTTTTTCAGCTATCATGCTACTATGGTGGCAATTTTAAACTTTATTGAGGTATGTTGGAGAAATTGCATCACTTTTGAGGCTAAATAATCACAAATGTTGGTTGGTGACATTTCCTCGACTTTATCTTGTTGGTGAGGACTAAAGCTACCTAAAGTTGTTATTACCTCCATCATCGAAGTTGGGCTTACATGGATAATCTTACTTTACTCCCAAACGGAGGAGCTTCGGAACTCGATAGAACTTTTATGGTGATTTACAATGATGCCATAAGAATGATTCAAGAATGAAAGCTAGAAGCAAGAGGAGTTTATGCAAGTAAAGGCTTTTTGTTTAATTGAGCTTTAAAAGCTAATTTGGGCCAATACTTAGGGTTCATTTAAGTAGGTTGCAGCTTTTTGTTGACATTCCAACTCATGTTTTTCTGTAATGCACATCACATCAATTCTCATGATACTATAAAAAAACTCAGATGGAGATATTTTTTGCTCTCTTTATTTTTTCATCAATTGTTTTGACACAAAAATATCTTTCATAATTGGTCTTTGTGACACGATTTCAAATTGGTTCATCAAAATTGACGTAATATGGTGGCAAGGATATGATACTTAAGCGATCAATGGACATTTGAGAAAAATTATGTCAGATGTATTAGAGGGCGAACTGAGAAGCAATATTTTGGTTGACTCTATGTTGATTGAAAAGACTTCTACTTATTATGAATTAGATTCATTACATTATAGAGATAAGATTGTATACATCAAATCCTTTCAGAATCATGCATTATTTAAACCTTATATGTAAATTGACTTGTCCTTGGAATATTATCATTGGTCAAATTATTCTTTGTGATCTCATGAACATTCTCATCTATGAACTATTACTATTATCAGGAGTCTTATTGGCTATTTGATTGAGTGTATTATGATTGTAATCCATTTGAAATGGGAGAGATTATTATTGTTTGGGTGTTTGATTGAGTTTAAAACAAATTTTAAGTATTTCTCTTAGGGGGTTTGAATGCCTCCGACAATTCCTTTTTGGGTGAATTTGAATTTAGCTAGAACTGAGTGAATTCCAAGTTCTTGCGTTCTCTAATAGCTTCGAGCTCATCTCAGCGCTTCTGAAGTCTGTTATCCCAATGCTTTTGAATACCATTAACTCTCTTATCCCCCACAATATTTGGCATCCACAATATTTGGCACCCCACAAAGGTCTTTGGCTCTCCCTGTCCCTATGATCTCCTTTATCTCCCCCCAGCACTCACAACCTTATCGGTTGTCCTCACACTCTCCCAATGCTCGCTTTCTATCCCCATGTCGTTGGCGACCATGCCAACAACATTAACCCCAATCATCATCACTGACCTTGTCGTTCTTCTGTTCTTTTTGTTTTTAAGTTTTAAAAGAACATATTAATAGAAAATATATATTAAAAAAATATTAATTATAAATTTTAATTTCATTTTACTTCCAACCAAATGAAAAAATAAAATAATTCTTGAATTATTTTACAACCGACAAAAAAATCCTGAGTATGTCAAGTAAATGTATTGTAGTTATTTTACACCGCATTAGAAACATAGCCCCCTTAAAGCATTTGCTTCTTATTGCCATCCTGCTTTGTGAAAAAAATTCATCTTTTTTTAGTCAGTTTAATAACCTGTTGAACTCTGTCCTTTGGACATCATTGAACTCTTTCCCCAAACCTCCTCTCTATTTGAGGCTGCAGTTGGGCAAAAACTTCATGTTAAAAGGCTCATTTAAATCTATGAGATAATCTTATTGCATGAAATTCTTACAGTTGGCATAATGCTTCTTCAAACATATGCATTTTCCCTATTTTAAATTACTAATTTCTTGGGAAAATAATTATTTTAGTTGCAATTTGTTTGCAGCCAGGGAGAGCCTGAGAAATGCAAAGAAAGAGTTTTCTAAGACTGAAGATGACTTGAAGTCACTCCAAAGTGTTGGTCAAATTATTGGAGAGGTTCTTCGGCCTCTTGATAATGAACGTTGTAAGTTATTTTTATTGCTTTATTATTTTTATTGCTTTATTAGAATACTGATTTGCCATTTTACCAAAATGTTGGCCAAATTATTGGAGAGGTTGTTCAGCTTCTTTATCAATGGCATCTTTGATTGCATGAGAGAATAATAACATCTACTTTGGTAGTCGACATTTCTTAACTTGAGTGTGAGATTCCGCCTTTATTGGTGTTATACTTGGTCACATTATTGAAGAGTCAAATTATTAAGGAATGTTTCCTAATTTGTTGGATATATTTAATAACCTTCTTTCTGTTGTGGGATTTCTGTTTCTATGCTCTATGAATTGTTTGGCTTTCACACACGTTTTTGAAAAAAATAAATTCGTTGAAACTCTTTTCTATTTGCTCCTTGTAATGATTTGATGTGAGTCCTTAACCTAATTTGAAACTGCTCCTTTACCTAAATTGAATCAATTGAGTTGCTTAATTTGATCCTGATCCTTTGTCACAATTATGACTGATTGGCTTAAGTAGCTCACAAGAAAGGGCATCTTACAAACCTTAGTGCTCTTATGTGCTTGCAAAGCTCTATAATATTGCAGCTTGCTATTCTTTTCAGTGGTTTTTTTATGGTACAAAAGAGTATTCATAGCTAAAAACTATATATTCTCGACTAAGTATATCAGCAGATGAGGAAGTTTTTATAACTTCTTTGCTGAGAAGTTTATGTTACAATTCATATGCGCTATCATACTCATGCCGAGGATTTATATAATACATTTTCGATATAGTTATTTCTTCACATTTTTTTTTCAAATTATTGACATCGATGTGGCTTTTATTTTTTATCTGCAGTGATAGTTAAGGCTAGTAGCGGTCCTAGATATGTTGTTGGTTGCCGAAGCAAAGTTGATAAAGATAAGCTGACATCTGGGACACGTGTAGTACTTGATATGACCACCCTTACAATAATGCGTGCTCTTCCTCGAGAGGTACATCCCACTAAAGATATGGTGTTATATATATACTTCGATAAAACGAGAAAGGCATATTTTATTTTATTGATGTTTTCCTTGCCTCTTTAACATTTTTATGATGTGTAAATTGATGTTTTGATCTGATTACACATTATTTTGATTACCTTTGACAGGTTGACCCTGTTGTTTACAACATGCTTCATGAGGATCCTGGCAATGTAAGCTATTCCTGCAGCTGTATTTGTTAACTTCCTTTTGGTTACTTGTAGGTTGTATCCAGTGCCATTATTGACAAATATATTGGTGAAAGTGCTAGATTGATAAGGGAGATGTTTGGTTATGCAAGAGATCATCAAGTACGTACCTATTCACTTTTCCTCTACCGTTCTCCATTTTTCCTGAGTGATGGAACCTAAAATTTGGTGTCTTTCCTTTCTTAAAAGTGGCTTCATTGCATTAAGTTGAATGTTAATGATTAAGACATAGAATTATCTAACGTTTTTCTATATTTATGTAGCCATGCATTATTTTCATGGATGAGATTGATGCCATTGGTGGTCGCCGGTTTAGTGAGGGAACTAGTGCTGACCGGGAGATTCAAAGAACACTAATGGAGCTGCTCAATCAGTTGGATGGATTTGATCAACTTGGAAAGGTGTTCATTTACCGTATTTTTTATTTAGTTGTGATGTGTGGCATGAATGAATAACTTTAGGGGCTGTTTGGTATCGGATTTATCGTGGGATTTAAGTCGGATTTACGCTAAATCCAGCCAAACGGTTTTTGTGTGCGCGTTAAATCCCGGATTTACGGATTTACAGCTTAAATCCCAGATTTACCAAATCCATCAGTTCGGCGGATTTAACGGGATTTAACATTAGAAGCTCGCGAAAGGGAGAAAGTTAACTTCACAGTCAATGAACTCATGTTCTTGCTCCCGATCAAAATGTCGTAACTTCCGATCCGACAGGAAGAAAGTTAACTTCACAGCCAGCTAGCTCATGTTCTTGCTCTTTTTTTTTTTTTATCGCTCATGTCCTTGCTTACTTTAATGTCATGCAGTATTTTGAATGTTCTAGCATTCCTTAACGAGGTCATGTTTTAATGGGGGATTTTCATATATGTCACAAAGTTCTTATATATTTACATCTTTAATGTCTAATTCTTTATATTTACTTATGTATCACTTCAATATTTGGATCACATCAAAGTATATGCATGAAATGGTGTGTTTTACTTTAAATAAGTTAATATTAGTATTTTTGATGTGATTTAGATATTTGAGTGTTATGGACCTAAATTTAATGATTTAGGTGTTAGATATGTAAATATATAAAAATTTTGTTGTATATATGTTAACCTCCCTATTATTCTACTTCATTATTCACAAATTAATTGATTCATTTCTTGATGTTCGAAAATTCTTGTGCATTTATTTTTCTGAAAAAGGTTATAGTTCTTGCTTTCTGTCGCATATTCCATTTGACGCCATGTAAAATTGTTGCCTGAGTTTGAAACAGCACCTAGATTAAAATGTTACATCATATTCTATTTATTATGGCTGTAAATAGGAACCACCTTAATCGTTTTTCCATCATGAAAGGATATTTCTCCTATCTTGAGATGGGCCTCATTTCTAAGGTTTCGTTTGGACGGCTTTTTTTGTTGCTTTTTAAAGTAGCTTTTTAGTAAAAAAATTAAAAATTTTATATTAAAAAGCTGCTTAAAAAAGCAACAAGAAAGTCATCCCAAACGAAGCCTAAATCTATCCATGTCTGTTCAAGGTTGCATCCATGAAAGTTATTTAGTCAAGGTAGTCGGAGTATGAGAAAATTGTTTTTAAATACATGATTGCTTTGACTGTTCATCAATGAAGACTGAACCGTTTGGCACAACCTTTTCTGCTTATAACTTTCAAGTGTTCCTTCTGATTCCTGATAGAGGACTTGGTTTTTATTATTTAAATTAATGTGCATTAGGTTAAAATGATCATGGCAACGAATCGTCCTGATGTTCTTGACCCAGCTCTTCTCCGTCCGGGTAGGTTGGACCGGAAGATAGAGATCCCTTTGCCAAATGAACAATCCAGGATGGAGATTCTTAAGATTCATGCAGCTGGCATAGCAAAGCTTGGTGAAATAGACTATGAAGCAGTTGTCAAATTAGCTGAAGTGAGTATATTTCATGTCTCAATTTTAGAAGACAGTATTATAAACTGTAATTACTGTTTCTAATCCCAGCCAATGTTTTGGATTCCAGGGCTTCAATGGTGCTGATCTTCGAAATGTCTGCACTGAAGCAGGAATGTCCGCAATTCGCGCAGAACGCGACTATGTAATTCATGAGGACTTCATGAAGGTAAGTCTCAGTATTTGGCCTTCTTCATCTTTGCTTGGTTTCCAGGCAAGGGAAAGAATAAGTAGAGTTATTATGCTATTCTGATCAAGATTTCTTCACTAATTCGAAGGGAAATGCCCATAAGATTTACTTGAGCTGATCTTTGGGTTGTCATGTTCTTCCTCTATATCTCTCTCAATGCTAATTCCTCCATCTCTCCCAATGCTATTCCTCTATCAATGCCATGAAGACGTTCGTCTTCTTCATTTTGCGCATGAGTTATTATGAAATCCAGCTGTGGCGATCTTTCTTGGATATGTCCCAAGCCCATTTGTTTTCTGCTAATCATCTATTTACCAACATAGTTTAAAAAAACTTTACTTCTCTGATTTTTTTTTCTTGATGTCCATAGATTTCCTTTCATAATACTTTCAGAAATTATTTATGAATGTTTGTATGCTTCACCCAATGTGATATGCTAAGCTGTCCATCTTATCGGTTTCAAGTTCTTTGCTGAATAAACGTTGCCACACTTCTTAACCCACCATATCCTTTCTACTGCCGCTGTCCCCTTCAATTAATAAAATCATTTCATAGTATTTCAACCTGAAAAATCATAAAGTTGGCTTTATTGGCTTCTCATCTCAAGCTTGGTTTTGGATGGCTTACTATTTTATAAAATTGTTGTGAAAAAAGTAATTTTTCAAAGTTGTAGTGCAGTTTCCTAGTAAATTTTTTTTTTTATATTCACAAAAAAAAAGTGACCAAACAAAAATTGTGATTGTGATATGAAAAGTAAGGTTGGAAAAAAGCTGTCCCAAATGAAGCCTCGATCTCAACTGTGCCACTAGGGGTGTCAATTTTGGATCACGGGTTGGGTTCGGGTCGAACCTAAAACTGACCTGACACTATTCGGGTCAACCCAAACCAGACCCATTTTTGCAAACGGGTCGATTTTGTGGACCTGAACACGACCCGCTTCGGGCCTGGGTCAAGCTGACACGACCTGAATGAGCCGGAGTCATGAAAAAATTACTAGTTTTCATGTAAATCTCAGCTTTTCGGGTCAAAAATAGGTCGAAAATGTGTCAATCTCGCCGGGTAAAAAACGGGTCAAAGGGTCAACCCGAACCCGACCTGATTTTTAAAACAGATCGAATTGTTCAACCCGAACCCGACCCGTTTCAGGTTGACCCTAACCCGGAATTTTCGGGTCGGGTTCGAGTTGAGTTTTTGGGTCATGTCAAATATTGACACCCCTATGTGCCACTAAGAACTTAACTTTTAAAAAAGAAAACGAATCTTTGGTGAATTTGATTTATGTGTGATTGATTATCCGAGCATTCAAGCTTCAGTTTCATCTTCTTTTACATTTCCACAGGCCGTGAGGAAGCTCAATGAGGCCAAGAAGCTTGAATCAAGCGCGCACTACAACGCAGACTTCGCCAAGGACTGAACTGATACCACCCTTTGCTTCTTCTTATTCCTTCTTTCTCTATATGAAGTTATTAAGTCCTTTAAATTAATTTCAAGTATTAATGCTGTGATGAATGTGAAGTTTTGCTCGTCATCTTTGAGTTCTTTCTTTTCTCCAGCCTGCAAAGATTGTTGTTGCTGAAGTCAGAACTGTATGTTATTCACTCTAATATTATGTTGGCTTGATGATACCATTTAATTAATGGCTTATAAATCTTTTTTATATATGATACAATGTTTATATTATTTCTATGGTGGGTAAGAGTTTTTTTATTGTAAATAGTGAATGTTAAGAGTTATATATTGAATATTTAAATTTTATTATTCGCATATTTTAGCACCTCTTTTGACTCCGTTGAGGATGGTTTCTCTCCTGAATTTGTCGGATCATCGCTAGGCATTGATTTCTTTTTGCTACAAGATCATTTTTCGCATGGATCCCAATCCGTCGATACCTTCGATTGCAAGTTCTTAATGGTGGAAAAGGATGTGCGAATGTTAATGGAGGTTGACGAAGTTAGGGATTTTGATGATGGGTGGTAGTTTTTATTTCATTTTAATATTTGGGTGTTATAAAGCAGTAAGAAAGATGTTACAAATGAAGTCTTAGGTTTTATTTGGGACGGTTTTTTTATTGTTTCTTAAAACAGTTTTTTAGTATATAAATATTAATTTTTGTATTAAAAAATTATTTTATGAAACAATAAGAAAGCAGTTTCAAATAAAATATTATTTATTTATGATTGTAAGTGAATATAGTATGGATTTCACTCAATCAAATCAAAGGAAGAGACAACTAAATAGCCACCAAGCTAAATTTGGAAAAGAGAACTCCCAATTTGTATTGTAAAATATGATGATGCATGTATAGAAATAGCAATAGTGATGTAATGATAAAAGTCATAATCATGAAGTCACATAATTATATGAAATGAACTATTTAGCTTTTTTATATTTCATCTCTTTACTTTACAAGTATTTATAGAGGATTTACTTCATGCCTAATCCAAATCATTAAGGAGAAGCTTATTTAAGACTACTCGAAATCTTTAAAGAGACTGTGTCAAATCAAGCCTACCTCCATGGCCCATCTAATGTCTATTTAGGATTCTTTTGAGACAACTTTGTTACTGTTTTGTAAAGCAGTTTTTTAATACAATAATTTTTTGAATTAGAAATTTTTGTACTAATAAGCTGCTTTAAAAAGCAATAAAAAAGTTGTCTCAAAGTAAATCATCTTCCAACACATTTTCAATCAAATTTTAGAGTTAGGAGAGTTTTTTTTTCTCACCCTTTAGCACAAAAGCTTTGTAGGTACCCTCAACATATTTTAATCTCCATGAATTTATTGGAAACAGGCTTCTGCTATTTTCTTGTTGAGATTATCTTATCTAGCTTCTCATGTAAGAGAGAGAGAGAGAGAGAGAGAGAGAGAGAGAGAGAGAGAGAGAGATTGCTAAATGAAAATCAACATAATCTTAAAGAAAGTGCAACTATAGTTAAACACTAATATAGAGAGGCAACCAAAGTCACAGTTTGTGGCATACAGAATAATTATTGAAGGCCCATTTCAATGTGAAACCTATCTGTCATCTCCAAATTTGTGGCTTTATTGATCAAACACCAGCTGTTACCAACCTTCTCTCCCATGCTCCTTCTCCTTCCCCCATGTGACTGCCAACCCATCTCTCTCTCTCTCTCTCTCATAACATTGATGAAAAGGTGAAAAAACAAAGGCATTGCAGTCTTTCCAATTAAAAACTCGGATCATACAATCATAATAATAATAAAGTTCTTACACAAACATGAAAGAATTTTCATCGACTCCACCACGCATTGAATTCTGTCAGTTACCTTTCTATTAGCTTGATAAAAGCTTTTATCGAATCACTTACAAATCAACCAATCCCAACAAAGCCATCACATCACTCAACCAGCTTCCAAGCGTTCAGAAAAAGACAGAAATCAGAATAACTACTACATCCATTTCCTCCCATCAGAGAACTCAAAGAAGAAGAAGAAGAAGAAGAAGAAGAAGAAGATAATGATGGCTTGAATATGAACAATGCATGCCTTAACCCACTAGCCGGGGTAAAAAGCCAACCATGAACATCCCAGTACACTTCCAGCTTCACCTTACTCAAAGAAATTATCTCATTCCCTCTAAATTTCCACTGCAAATGCCTCACATGAACCACTTCCATCCCATCAATCTTGATCACCATTTCAGACTCCATATTCATGACAGAGGAGCTTATTTCACACTCTATAGAAACCTCATGGAATCTCCCTTTCTCATCAAACTTAGCTCGTGTAACAAATCTCTTCTTCCCAAACACATGCTCTTTCTTTGAAACCAGCATAGCTTCAATAACAGCAGGCGGCGAGCCTGTTCTCCGGTAAGCTTCCTTCTTAAGATCACCAAGAAGCAGAACCACTTCATTGTCTGAAACAACTGCGACATAGTAATCAGACAAAGGCTCTGGTGAGGAGTTATCTTCATCGCAGAATTTGGCGTTTCTGAGGTCCCAAATAACGTCGACTGGCTTATTTCCTTGAATGGTGAAACGCTTAGAGCCATGGCGGCGCCAGAAATGCCATGGCCGCATCTCTACTTTGCAACTACTGTTGGTTTGATTGTCGCCATTGATGGAGATGGAGAGGCCTCGTGTGAGGAGGTTTCGGCACCATGTGATGGTGATGAGGGTGAAGTGGCCGGCTGCTTTGGTGCGGTAGATGAGGATGACTAAGTTTTGGGCGAGTTTGGGGGAGGGGAAGGAGGAGGAGGAGGAGAAGAGGCTGTTGCTGGAGATTGATGAGGAGAAGCAAGAAGGAACAGGGAAAAGATCTTGCATTTCTTCTTTCTGTGGCTGTGGGACTGTATGTCTGGTTTGTTCTCTTTGGCTTGTTGGATGTGCTGATTTTATGTATGATATGTTTGTTTATTATTGAGAGAGATCAAAAGAAAGAATATTGATTTTGGAGGAATATAATGAAGAGAGTTTTATTTATTTAATGGCTTATAGTATGAATTTGAGTTACATATTTTATGATTTAATATTCAATATATTCATTTTTTAAAGCTTTTTTTGGAGCTTAAGGGGATGAAGAAAAATAAAGAGCAATCCCTTCTTTTAACATATAACATATACTTTTACTATTTTGTAATATGGTATATTAAAAGGAGTTAGTTCATGAGAATTTTTTTTTATAGGAAAAATCACATGCATGCTTTCATAAAGTTATGGTTGTGATTTCTTCGATCAATATTTGATTGAACATTATTTAAATTTTTTGTACTAAAAAGTTGTTTTAAGAAGCAGTAAGATAGTCGTACCAAACGAAGCCTAGATGAGTCTATAGAAGAGAATGAGTAGTAGTAGATAAAGGAATAAAATAGTATAAAAGTATATTGGCCAAATCTCTATGAGCTCCTTCATTACAAAAAGTAGTTGATAAAGGAATAGATTAAATATGAATTTCTAGGTTCACATAACTACGCCTTTTAAAATTTAAATTTTCATTTACTATGTATTTGCTTTTCATACTATAAATCATATGCTACTCTTCACTAGTAGGAAATTATTATGGAACTTCTTAAATTAACCAAATTAGAACATTGTAATTATATCATTAACAATACCTTAATCTCAATTATTCAAATTTGATTTTATGAATCTTCATTTTTTATTCGTTTATGCAGAGTGTTTGAGATATTAATTCACTTTTAAATAATTTATATCAGCACAGCTTTTGGCCTACTTGTTTTTAGTCAAAATCCTTTGACTCCAGCACGTTTATTGACTCATCAACCGTGTGCATTTTATACTTTATTATGTATGTATCAAAATTATCCGATTCTACTTTCAGTCGGCTTATTTTCAATAGGTTGAACCCCAAAATTTTTAATATTAATTTATTCTTCATAATTTTATCACGCATCAATCTTAATACTTTCACTTCCATTACATCCAAATTAAATAGGGATTTTTACATACGTAACACCTAAAACTATTGAAAATATATATTTAACATCTAAATTTTTATATTTACTAATATACCACATAAAATCCTTTTTTCCTTCTATTCCACCACTCCATTGAAGTGATGAAATACTTATATTCACTGTGAAAGAATGTCATTGACAGGGAAGACAACCGTTGTTAGTGATTTTTGACGGAAGGTTTAAACGGAATGTTAGCATTGATTAAAATAGGGGTTTTAGGTGGCATATTAGTAAATATAAAAGTTTAGGTGTTAAATATGTATTTTTAATAGCTTTAGGTGTTATGTATGTAAAAACCCCAATTAAATATCAATATTTATTTTATCATTCAATGTTTAGATCCATAAAACTTGTCGGTCGAATTAAAATTTTGTAAAATTAAAAGATTATAAAAATATATTAAAAATATCAAAATTGTTATTTTCACATATGTATATATATAGAACAAAAAAAATCTATTTTGTATTGTATATTTGCACAATGCTGAGACGTAAAACTTCTGCACTAACGCCGCATAAATTCTAGCCCGCAACATTATATATAGAAGCACAAATAATTAATCATTTTCATAAAACTTTTTTACTTTTATATTAAAAAAATATATGTTAAGATATTAATCAAAAATTTTATATTATAAATAAAAAGTTTAATAATTTATTTTAAGATAAGTAAAGTATAAATTGAAAGAGCTTTTTTCCGTTATAAAATATAAGAATATATAATATATTGATTAATGAATTAATCATTACAATTGTTTTAGAACATAATAAAAAATGTTGTAAATTGTAAGTTTTTTTATCAATATATTTTATTTTCTTAAAATTAATATTATTAAAAAATGTTTTTAAAATTGCTAATATTGATCTCAAATTTGAATCAAAAATTTTTGTGAGACATATTTAAAAAAAAAAAATGAATTTATGTGCCGTTTAGAAAAATTTTTTTTTGCAGCAACACTTTATATAATTATATATATATACTATAATATATATATATATATATTAATGGTGGGCCCATTAGGAGCTGTCCCACATGCAGAGATAGATAACTGCGTACGTCAAACTCTGAATCCAACGTTGAAAGGGCTTCGTTTTTATTTATAGTACAAAGCTTCTTCCTTTTCTTAAGGTGAATGCATGTGTTCTTTTTTATATTATAATATATTTATTAAATTTATTTTTATGTGAGTGAAATGAAATATTTTGAATAATGAATTATTTTTTTTAAAATAAGTTTAATAAATTTGAAAATTTAATCTTATAAAAATTTTTAATTATAATATTTGACCATTTTTTTTGTTCTATATATATAAATAATATATATATATATATATATATATTATAATATAATATATATATATATATATGTATATGTGTGTGTGAAAATAACAATTTTGATATTTTAATATATTTTTATAATCTTTTTATTTTACAAATTTTAATTCGACCGACAAGTTTTATAGATCTAAACATTGAATGATAAAATAAAATATTGATATTTAATTTGGATGTAATGGAAGTGAAAGTATTAAGATTGATGCGTGATAAAATTATGGAAGAATAATTAAGGAATCATCGTATTAAAAAATTTTGGGTTCGACCTATTTGAAATAAGCCGACTGAAAAGTACAATCGGAAAGATTTTATACGTACATAATAAAAATATAAAATGCACACGGTTGATGAGTCAATAAACGTACTGGAGTCAAAGAATTTTGACTAAAAACAAGTAGGCCAAAGCTGTGTTGATAGAAATTGTTTAAAAGTGAATTAATATCTCAAACACTCTGCATAAACGAATAAATAAATGAAGATCATAAAATCAAATTTGAATAATTGAGATTAGGGTATTGTTAATGATATAATTACAATGTTCTTAATTTGGTTAATTTAAAGAAGTTCCATAATAATTTCCTACTAGTGAAGAGTAGCATATGATTTATAGTATGAAAAACAAATACATAGTAAATGGAAATTTAAAGGTTAAAAGGTTTAGTTATGTGAACCTAGATGTTCAATTTATTTTATTCCTTTATCAACTACTTTTTGTAATGAAGGAGGCTCATAGAGATGGGCCAATATACTTTTATACTATTTTATTTCTTTATCTACTACTACTCATTCTCTTCTATAGACTCATCTAGGCTTCGTTTGGTACGATTTTCTTACAGTTCCTTTAAAATAACTTTTTAGTACAAAAATTTTAAATAATGTTCAATCAAATATTGATTCGAAAAAATCAACAACCATAATTTTATGAAAGCATGCATGTTGATTTTTTCCTACAAAAAAAAAATTCTCATGAACTAAACTCCTTTTTAATATACCATATTACAAAATAGTAAAAGTATATGTTATATGTTAAAAGAAGGGAATTGCTCTTTTATTTTTCTTCATCCCCTTTAAGCTCCAAAAAAAAACTTTAAAAAATGAATATATTGAATATTAAATCATAAAATATGTAACTCAAGTTCATACTAATAAGCCACCCAATAAATAAAACTCTCTTCACATATTCCCTCCAAAATCAATATTCTTTCTTTTGATCTCTCTCAATAATATAAACAAACATATCATACATAAAATCAGCACATCCAACAAGCCAAAGAGAACAAACCAGACATTACAGTCCCACAAGCCACAGAAAGAAGAAATGGCAAGATCTTTCCCTGTTTCCTTCTTGCTTCTCCTCATCAATCTCCAGCCAACAGCCCTCTTCTCCTCCTCCTCCTCCTTCCCCTCCCCCAAACTCGCCCAAAACTTAGTCATCCTCAATCTACCGCACCAAAACAGCCGGCCACTTTCACCTCATCACCATCACATGGTGCCGAAACCTCCTCACACGAGGCTCTTCCATCTCCATCAATGGCGACAATCAAAACCAACAGTAGTTGCAAAGTAGAGAATGCGGCCATGGCATTTCTGCGCCGCCATGGCTCTAAGCGTTTCACCATTTCAAGGAAATAAGCCAGTCGACGTTATTTTGGACCTCAGAAACGCCCAAATTCTGCGATATGAAGATAACTCCTCACCAGAGCCTTTGTCTGATTACTATGTTCGCAGTTGTTTCAGACAATGAAGTGGTTCTGCTTTCTTGGTGATCTTAAGAAGGAAGCTTACCGGAGAACAGGCTCGCCGCCTGCTGTTATTTGAAGCTATGCTGGTTTCAAAGAAAGAGCAGTGTTTGGAAAGAAGAGATTTGTTACACGAGCTAAGTTTGATGAGAAAGGGAGATTCCATGAGGTTTCTATAGAGTGTGAAATAAGCTCTCTGTTCATGAACATGGAGTCTGAAAATGGTGATCAAGATTGATGGGAATGGAAGTGGTTCATGTGAGGCATTTGCAGTGGAAGTTTAGAGGAATGAGATAATTTCTTTGAGTAAGGTGAAGCTGGAAGTCTACTGGGATGTTCATGGTTTGGCTTTTTACCCCGGCTAGTGGGTTAAGGCATGCATTGTTCATATTCAAGCCATCATTATCTTCTTCTTCTTCTTTGAGTTCTCTGATGGGAGGAAATGGATGCAGTAGTTATTCTGATTTCTGTCTTTTTTCTGAACGCTTGGAAGCTGGTTTGAGTGATGTGATGGCTTTGTTGGGATTGTTTGATTTGTAAGTGATTCGATAAAAGCTTATCAAGCTAATAAAAAGGTTACTGACAGAATTCAATGCGTGGTGGAGTCGATGAAAAATTCTTTCATGTTTGTGTAAGAACTTTATTATATATTATGATTGTATGATCTGAGTTTTTTAATTGGAAAGACTGCAATGCCTTTGTTTTTTTCACCTTTTCATCAATGTTTATGAGAGAGAGAGAGAGAGAGATGGGTTTGGCAGTCACATGGGGGAAGGAGAAGGAGCATGGGAGAAGGTTGGTAACAGCTGGTGTTTTGATCAATAAAGCCACAAATTTGGAGATGACAGATAGGTTCTATATTGAAGGGCCTTCAATAATTATTCTGTAATGCCACAAACTGTGACTTTGGTTGCCTCTCTATATTAGTGTTTAACTATAGTTGCACTTCTTTAAGATTATGTTGATTTTCATTAGCAATCTCTCTCTCTCTCTCTCTCTCTCTCTCTCTCTCTCTCTCTCTCTCTCTCTCTCTCTCTCTCTCTTACATGAGAAGCTAGATAAGATAATCTCAACAAGAAAATAGCAGAAGCCTGTTTCCAATAAATTCATGGAGATTAAAATATGTTGAGGGTAACCTACAAAGCTTTTGTGCTAAAGGGTGAGAAAAAAAAAAACTCTCCTAACTCTAAAATTTGTTTGAAAATGTGTTGGAAGATGATTTACTTTGAGACAACTTTATTGCTTTTTAAAGCAGCTTATTAGTACAAAAATTTCTAATTCAAAAAAATTATTGTATTGAAAAAAACTGCTTTACAAAATAGTAAGAAAGTTGTTCGAAAAAACCCTAAAAAGACATTAGATGGGCCATGGAGGTAGGCTTGATTTGACACAGACTCCTTAAAGATTTCGAGTAGTCTTTAAATAAGCTTCTCTTAATGATTTGGATTAGGCATAAAGTAAATCCTCTATAAATACTTGTAAAGTAAAGAGATGAAATATAATAAAGCTAAATAGGTTCATTTCATGTAATTATGTGACTTCATGATTATGACTTTTATTCATTAACATCACTATTGCTATTTCTATACATGCATCATCATATTTTACAATACAAATTGGGAGTTTTCTCTTTTCCAAATTTAGCTTGGTGGCTATTTAGTTGTCTCTTCCTTTGATGTGATTGAGTGAAATCCTTACTATATTCACTTACAATCATAAATAAATAATATTTTATTTGGAATTGTTTTCTTACTGTTTCATAAAATATTTTTTTAATACAAAATTAAGATTTATATACTAAAAAACTGTTTTAAGAAGCAATAAAAAAAACCGTCCAAATAAACCTAAGACTTTATTTGTAACATCTTTCTTACTGCTTTATAACACCCAAATATTAAAATGAAAATAAAAAACTACCCACCCATCGTCAAAATCCCTAACTTCATCAACCACCATTAACATTCACACATCATTTTTCCGCCATTAAAAACTCGCAAGCGAAGGCATCGATGAGATTGTGATCCAAGCGAGAAATGATCTTGTAGCAAAAGACATCAAATGTCTAGCGATTATCCGACAAATTCAGGAAGAGAAACCATCCTCACACGGAGTCAAAAGAGGTGCTAAAATATAGCGAATAATAAAATTTAAATGTTCATATATAAACTCTTAACATTCACTATTTACAATAAAAAAAACTCTTACCCACCATAGAAATAATATAAACATTGTATCATATGTAAAAAAGAATTTATAAGCCATTAATTAAATGGTATCATCAAAACCAACATAATATTAGAGTGGAATAACATACAGTTCTGACTTCAGCAACAACAATCTTTGCAGGCCTGGAGAAAAGAAAGAACTTCAAATATGACGAGCAAAAACTTCACATTCATCACAGCATTAATACTTGAAATTAATTTAAAGGACTTAATAACTGCATATAGAGAAAGAAGGAATAAGAAGAAGCAAAGGGTGGTATCACGTTCAGTCCTTGGCGAAGTCTGCGTTGTAGTGCGCGCTTGATTCAAGCTCTTGGCCTCATTGAGCTCCTCACGGCCTGTAAGAAAATGTAAAAGAAGATGAAACTGAAGTTTGAATGCTCGGATAATCAATCACACATAAATCAAATTCACCAAAGATTCGTTTTTCTTTTTTTAAAAGTTAAGTTCTTAGTGGCACAAAGGGGTGTCAATATTTGACATGACCGCGAAACCCAACTCGAACGAACCTGAACCGAAAAATTCCGGGTTAGGGTCAACCCGAAACGGGTCGGATTCGGGTTGAACAATTCGACTTGTTTCAAAAATCAGAATCGGGTTCGGGTTGACCCTTTGACCTGACGAGATTTGACACATTTTCGGACCTATATTTTTTGAACCCGAAAAGTGGAGATTGACCCTTTTTTTTACCTGAAAACTAGTAAATTGTTTCATGACTCCGGGTCATTCGGGTCGTTTCGGGTCGAACAAAATCGACCCGTTTGCAAAAAATGGGTATGGTTCGGGTTGACCCGAATAGTGTCGGGTCAGTTTCGGGTTCAACCCGAACCAACCTATGACCCAAAATTGACACCCCTATTGGTATAGTTGAGATGGAGGCTTCATTTGGGACAACTTTTTTTTCAAACCTTACTTTTCATATCACAATCACAAAATTTTTATTTGGTCACTTTTTTTTGCTAAATTAAAAAAAAAAATTTAACTAGGAAACTGCTTTCTACTACAACTTTTAAAAATTACTTTTTTCACAACAATTTTATAAAATAGTAAGCCATCCAAAACGAAGCCATAAAAGCCAACTTTATGATTTTTCAGGTTGAAATACTATGAAATGATTTTATTAATTGAAGGGGACAGCGGCAGTAGAAAGGATATGGGGGTTATGAAGTGTGGCAACGCGTAGTAGAAGGCTTCAGAAATGTTTATTCACCAAAGAACTTGAAACGATAATATGGAACAGCTTAGTAAATCACATTGGTGAAGCATACAAACATTCATATCTGAAAGTATTATGAAAGGAAATCTATTGGACAGCAAGAGAAAAAAATCAGAGAAGTAGAGTTTTTTAAACTATGTTGGTAAATAGATGATTAGAAGGAAACAAACGGGCTTGGGACAGATCCAAGAAAGATAGCCACAGCTGGATTTCATAAAGAACTCATGTGAGCAAAATGAAGAAGACGAACGTCTTCATGGCATTGAGAGAGGAATAGCATTGGGAGAGATGGAGGAATTAGCATTGAGAGAGATATAGAGGAAGAACATGACAACCCAAAAGATTCAGCTCAAGTAAATCTTAAGGGCATTTCCCTTCGAATTAGTGAAGAAATCTTGATCAAAATATCATAATAACTCTACTTATTCTTTTCCCTTTGCCTGGAAACCAAAGCAGAGATGAAGAAGGGAAAAATCTGAGACTGGAGAGCAGAACAATGTTCCCACAAAGAGAAGACTTACCTTCATGAAGTCCTCATGAATTACATAGTCGCGTTCTGCGCGAATTGCGGACATTCCTGCTTCAGTGCAGACATTTCGAAGATCAGCACCATTGAAGCCCTGGAATCCAAAACATTGCTGGGATTAGAAACAGTAATTACAGTTATAATACTGTCTTCTAAAATTGAGACATGAAATATACTCACTTCAGCTAATTTGACAACTGCTTCATAGTCTATTTCACCAAGCTTTGCTATGCCAGCTGCATGAATCTTAAGAATCTCCATCCTGGATTGTTCATTTGGCAAAGGGATCTCTATCTTCCGGTCCAACCTACCCGGACGGAGAAGACTGGGTCAAGAACATCAGGACGATTCGTTGCCATGATCATTTTAAACCTAATGCACATTAATTTAAATAATAAAAACCAAGACCTCTATCAGGAAATCAGAAGGAAACTTGAAAGTTATAAGCAGAAAAGGTTGTGCCAAACGGTTCAGTCTTCATTGATGAACAGTCAAAGCAATCATGTTATTTAAAAACAATTTTCTCATACTACCGACTACCTTGACTAAATAACTTTCATGGATGCAACCTTGAACAGAACATGGATAGATTTAGGCTTCGTTTGGGATGACTTTCTTGTTGCTTTTTAAGCAGCTTTTTAATATAAAATTTTTAATTTTTATTACTAAAAAGCTACTTTAAAAAAGCAACAAAAAAGCCCTCCAAACGAAACCTTAGAAATGGAATTTTTATTGCGTTCTCCCACCTGACATAGAGATACGTCCTCCCAGAGCTAAATTCGCGCTAAAAAACGAGAAATAACGCAGCAAATACCAAGCAATACCAAACAATAACGAGGAATATCATCATGTGCAGACCAATACCGAGTTATACCGATCTATACCGAGCAATACAAAAAAAAATACCTAATTTTTCCTAGAAAAGAACTTTGTATTTTTTTGTATTGCTCGGTATTGCTCGTATTGCTCGTATAACTCGGTATTATGGTCTTTCACATGATGATATTCCTCGTTATTATCAAATAATACCTAGCAATACACTGAGCAAAAAACCGCAGTTTTTTTTGGCGTGATGGGAGGACGTATCTCTACGTCAGGTGGGAGGACGCAATAAAAAATTCTTAGAAATGAGGCCCATCTCAAGATAGGAGAAATATCCTTTCATGATGGAAAAATGATTAAGGTGGTTCCTATTTACAGCCATAAATAAATAG